AAGCTGAATTTGGAAAGCAAAAAATATGGGGGAAAAAAAAAGAAAAGCAATGCCTTTGCTTGTTTGAAAATGCCTATATTTTGCTCTTGATAGCATACATTGAGAATTTTATGAACACAGAAGGTGAAGGCAAGAGAAGCAGGAGCTCAAAGCTACTGAGGAAGTTAAGGTCCAGGATGAGCTACATGAGATCTTGTCTTGAAAAAGCAAAATGGAGGAAGGAGGATGGATATCATCAAAATACATTTTATTCATGTATGAAGTTCTAAATCTAAAATATTTTCAAAGAAAGAACATACCCCCAAACAGTTTTAGGAATAAAGTAAGTATCCTCTCTTCCCCACCTTCCCTTCCTCTCATAATAGATTATTTTCAATTTGGATTTCTTTTCTTTTCTTTCTTTTTTTTAGGCAGGGTTTCTCTGTGGCTTTGGAGACTGTCCTGGAAGTAGCTCTTGTAGACCAGGCTGGTCTCACAGAGATCCACCTGCCTCTGCCTCCCGAGTGCTTCCCAGGGTGTGCATCACCACCGCCCTGCTTGGCTTTGTTTTCAATTCTTTCGAGACCTGGTGACTAAGTCATCCTTAGTAATCTCATGAGTCTTTTTTTTTTTTTTTTTTTTTTTTTTTAAAATTAACCCTTTACAATTAACCCTTTTGGTCTGACTCCAAATGCTGGTTTTGAACCTGGGGTAATTTTATACATTTCAATTTTTCTGGTTTGTTAGGGGGAAATGTTGGCTCCCTTGGTTCTTGGTTACTACAATTCTTTTTATTGATTCTTTGTGGATTTCACTTCATGCACTCCAATCCCATTCATCTCCCTGTCCCTTTGTATCTGCCCTCTGCCCTTGCATCTTCCCCCACCCAAAAAAATAAAAGTTTAAAAAGAAAATATCTCCTTATGGAAGCTGTAATGTACACAGTGAGTCACACAGTATACCCTTTAGTCCATACATCTTTACTTGCAAATGTTCATTACAATGTGTCATTGGTATGATTTGAGGCCTCTGGCTTCTGCTATACTAGATCCTTACTGGGACTTCCTTGGCTATCCTAATGTTGCCCTCTGTCATGGAGATCCTGCAGCTTTAGATCTGCAGGTCTGGCCCCTTCATATGATCTGGCAGTTCACAGATGGGGTGGATCAACTCATAACCCTGGATCTGGACCTGGGTGGTAGCTGAGTTGGTCAGCTAGAAAGCTCTCCCACATCCTCACCACCAGGGCAAGCTCATCCACTGCTGCAGGCAGCAAGGGGTGGAGCCAGCTTTCCCAGTGCCCTTGGGCAGGCTGTCACGCACCCCACTAATAGTGTCAGCTCCACTGTGTCAGTCTAGGAGAGGTATAGTGCAGGGAAGGCTCTCCCACACAGATGAGGAGCAGGCGGAGGGACATCTAGCCATGACACAACCCTCACCTGTGCCCAGGAGAGGTGCATGACCTGTTCTCCCAAGTACTGCAGCCAGTAAGGGTGGGGCCAACTCTATGCAACCCTTGGATATCAACATGATTTCAGATGGCAGTCCAGACCTGGGGTATTCACATGGCCTTTGGTGGTAACATGAACATCAAAACAGACTCCCATCACTGCATGGCCAAGGACCCAGCCATGTCCCTCAGCAGCAGCATGGGCCAGGTGGCTTTGCAGGTGACTCAATCAGGCTGTTCCTCTCCACCCACGCATCTCCATCCCTCTCTTCATAGTGCTCAAGCTGTTCTACTTCTCTCCCATCTCTCCACGACATACTTGCACATCTGTTGTGGGTGTGCTACACTTTGGGCAGGGTCTCTGTGTGTCTTTTTCCTGCCAACTCTCTATGGTGGTGGGCAGGGCTTTTGGGTATCTTCAAGAGTTTGTCCAACCCTAAGTTTCCAAAGAAAATAAATTTCTGGCCAAAGTTTGACTCAGCACAGTAAAACTAATTCAACATATAGTCATCCAGTTTCATGGTTGAACCACCAGTACAACCAACTAGAGAGATTAGCAGATAGGTCAATGATGAAAAGTAAACTCAGCAGAACCTGTCCAGTCAATGGTGGGTCTCCATTCTGCAGGTACTGCTCTTCTTCCTGGACTAGGATGCAGCTCTGGCAGCCACAGAAACTCATTCAGTAGTATGTTTTCTTAAAGGAAGAAGGCAGAGGTTCTAGCACTTGTGCTTGTTACTGGCTCTATTGATGGGCCGTGCAATTCAACTTTTCCCAGGGAACAAAAACAGTACCTGCCCTGCATCTCCTGTTCCCCCACTTCATAGAGCACAAACCACTCTTCTGCCACCTATTTGCTAGCTTCTTTCTTTCCCAGAACTCCACCATCTACTTACTCACTTCCTATTGCACCCAGCCAGGCATAGGACTGAGGTGTCGTCTTTGTGCTTCCCAGTGTGCCTGTGCCCTTTGTGGACGCCAGCCTGGTCCACTATGTTGTCTAGGTGCCTCCTGGTGTCCAGAATCTGTTTCTTGATCCCAATCATGGTGCCTGCTGTTCTTTCTCACCTTTCCTCAGTCTTTTCTCTTCAAGGAAACTTCTCAGTCCCACCGGAGGAGAGGCTGTGCTCACTTTTGGGAGAGAACAGGGCCCTAGCCAGGCTACAGCAGCCATAGCTGCTACCAAGAACCCAGAGCATGACACTCAAGCCACTGCAGCCACCAGCACCATCTTGATTCTCCCCATGTTCTTTGTTTTTGTTCTTTTAACACCAATTTAACCTCCTTAATGTTCAGTTGGAACCAACTCGCTCCTGCATGATCCAGATAGCCCTATTCCTCTCCTTCTCCAAACCCACTCACTCAGTCTCCAAACAAAGGAGATGTGCCAAAAAAAAAGTCAGGTTCTTCATTCTTGGCAGCTGCTGCATCTTCCTCCTTTGAAGTTGCCTCCACCCAAGTCTCTGCCTAAGTGCTCAGCTTTTGACAATACTTAAGCACAAACCCAGCTTGTGGTGGACATGAACCTAGTTTGGGCATTCGGCTTCTCTGGCCTTGATCTCTGGGACTGGAGAACTGCCCCCCCCCCTGCTTTGCTCAAATAAACCTGTTATTATACTTTTTTGGGGGGAGGGGTGTGAGGTGGGGGCGGGTTGATGTTATACTTTTTCAATTTGACTTGATCTGGCTTACTGTGTTGGTGTGTTGGTGTAGAAACCTACTATGGAGGAGGAGCAGAAAAGCCTATTACTCAATAGCACTTTTTAAAATTATCCTCCTTATCATTATGTACATGTGTATGCACTTGAGTGCAAGTGCCTATGAAGTCTAGAAGAGGGTGTCAAATTCCCTAGAGCTGAAGTTACAGATGACTTTGACCCACATAACCTGGATGCTAGGAGCCAAACTGTGGTTTTCTACAAAAACATTATGTGTTCTGAAGTGATAAGCCATCTCTCCCTCAGTACCACTTTTTTTTTGTTGTTATTGAGACAGGGTCTTACTTTATAGCTAGCTCTGGCTGGCCTGGAACTCATTATGTAGATCTAGAACTCAGAGATCTACCTGCCACACGTGTCATATATGCAAATGTGTGTGCACATCCATTTTTTTAATTTCAACTTTCAGTTTTAGTGAGACAGGTGCCCCTGTATTTGGTTGCTGATTACTAGTTTGCCTCAAACTGGCACTATGAAATTGACAAAAAACAGAGCCTAGTTTCCCCCTGACTCCAGTTTCCTAATTACTACCCAATGCTTATGCCCGAGTGAAAAAAGAAAGGTTCACACACTTTTTGGGGTGGACATGTGGGTACATACCTAAAACCCCAGAAGTCAGGAGGCAGAAGCTGAAAGGATGCCACAAATTTAAGGTCAGCATGGTCTAGAGTGTCAGATTAGCAAAGCATACAAATTGAGACCCCTATCTTAAAAACAAAATGGGGGGAGGGGTGGCTGGAGAGATGGCTCAGTGGTTAAGAGCACTGCCTGCTCTTCTAAAGGTCCAGAGTTCAATATCCAGCAACCACATGGTGCCTCACAACCATCTGTAATGGGATTTGGTGCCCTTTTCTAGCCTGCAGACAACATGCAGACAGAACACTGTACACATAATAAATAAGTCTTAAAAAAAAATAGGCTAACAAGATAGCTCAGTGGGGAGAGATGTTTGCTAAGTAATCCTCCAAAGCCACAGAGAAACCCTGCCTCGAATACCACCCCCACAAAAATAAATAAATAAGTAAATGTGTATGGGTGTTTTGCCTAGTGTCTGTGCACCCTGAAGTTCCAGACAGTTGTAAACCATCATGTGGGTGCTAGGATCCAAAACCTATGTCCTCTGTGAGAACAGCCAGTGTTTCTAACTATCATCCAGCCCTGGAAACTCCTTTTGAAACTTTCATAAAGTAGGAAGTAGAAACAAGGCACAGTGGTTAAGGGCACTTGTTAGAACTTTTGTGTCCAATTTGACAATTGTAATCATGTACATCAACTATATAAGCACTTAAAACTTTGATTGCAGTTGTCATGTATATGTATTACCGGTTTCTATAAATATCTAACCTCTTCCTTGGACTACAGCATTTAATATACTGAAATCTAGAGGATTTTCTCCCTGAATAAGTACACAATAGAAACTCTAACCAAGAAAACAAACAAGCAAAACAACCAACAATCATCAAGTCTTTTATAAGAAGTAAGCATAATTTTAACATTATTACCCAAGATCATTCTGAGAATATCTTTCAGAACTAATTTCTAAAATCTATAACCAGATTATTCAAGACAAAGTCACTCAATCTATGAATATATCTGGCTCAGGATTTAGAAATCAATCATTGGCCAGTGGTGGTGGCAACAAACACCTATAATACCAGCACTGGGAAGGCAGAGGCAGTTGGATCTCTGGGAGTTCAATGCCAGCCTGGTCTACAGAATGAGTTCCAGGACAGCCAAGGCTACACAGAGAAACCCTAACTTGAAAACAAAAAAAAAAAAAAAAGAAAAAGAAAAAGAAAAGAAAGGAAGAAAGGAAGGAAGGAAGGAAGGAAGAAAGGAAGATCAAACAGGCATTTTATGGGAAACTCACGTTTAATTGTGATATTTTAAAATTGTACAAGTTTTTTACATCTGCCCTCCCACCCCATATTTAGACTCTTAAAATGACAGGAAAACATCACCAATCACAGGTTGAATGGGTTTAATAAGTTTACCCCTTCAGTTCCTATATGAAGCACCCAATATTCCTTAAAACACCAATGAGACCTGGCAGTGGCCAACAGTGAATTTCATCTTCAGGGTTAAACAGCTCAGATCCTCTGAGCACTCTGTGATGCAGTGGCACTTGTCCAGAACTGGTACAGCCCCATAGTTGGGGAACTTAATTTGTACCAGTGAAAAAAGCTGTTTCCCCTTCAAGGGGAAGAAAAAAAAAAAACAACTCTTCAAAACCCAGCTAGTTTATCTCAATCTATCTGTCCCATCTCTTCAGGCTCTATTTTTGATTTTTTTTCTTCTTTCTTTCCTTTTCTGCAGCAGAGCAAGAGAGACCAAAACCTAACCTGAGTTACAAGAAAACAAGACAGTGATGGCTATAGAAGGAGTGACCTGGAGCAACTGGAATGCTCCTTTACCTCCCACATCCAATGTATGTGCTTCACAGAAAAACAGTAACAACAAATTCACAAAATACAACAGTTAAAATTACAAAGCCCATTCATCCAGGGGTGCTGGAAGGCAAGTAAAAGTGGGAGGGTAAATGACACGGGGCTAATAGGAAAAGAAAAAAATGTAGTCAGTCAGTCCAGGAACAGGAGCTGGCAAATGCTAGAAACAGCTGGAAAACTCCAGTCCTTTCAGACCTAGGGTGGTGGTAAAAAAAAAAAAAAAAACCACATACTGGAGTCAGGAAGATTCTGCCTTACTGCACCAGAGACAAAAATTCCAATTCATCCAAGAGAGGGGAATATGCAGAGGGCCTTGGCAGTGGGTCCTGCCTTCCGAGGCAGGGGGCGGAAAACAGAGAAAGAGCTGCCACATCCTCCACCCAATCCCACCCACCCATCCCCTTTGGACAGAATCAGTGGCCTGCAGCAGCAGCTTTCAGTTTGGCAGGAGAAGGATGTGGAGAAGGGAACTTCTCTGCAGAGGATGAGCTGCTCAGGGCTGACTGCAGGTAGACTGTCTTGTGGAAAAGTCTGTTGCTTAAAAAGACCACCAAGGAGAAGAGGCGTAACTGGAAAAGACTAAAGGACAAGAAACCCTACTCGTTAGTTCCCAGTTGATCAACATAACTGCTTCAAGCAAATTACAGCTTATCTGACTTTTAAGTTTAAAACTACATAGAGCCAGGTGGTGGTGGTGGTGGTGGTGGTGGTGGTGGTGGTGGCGCACACCTTTAATCCCAGCACTCAGGAGGCAGAGGCTGGGGGATCTTGTGGGATTGAGACCAGCTAGAACTACAAGAGTGAGGTCCAGGTCAGACTCCAAAAGCCACAGAGAAACTCCATCTCAAAAAACCAAAAAAAAAAAAAAAAAAAGTCCATACGTTTATCAGCTAAAGAATATACTGGCTGCAGAACAAGCAGCAGAATAAACTATTTGCCTAGTGGCCTGAAGCCATGAGTTAAAACCACCACTGGAAAAAAGAAATGTAGCTGGGTGGTGGTGACCCACACCTTTAATCCCAGCACAGAAAATCCTGTCTTGAAAAAAACAAAAAGAAAAAGAAATGTAGCATATCTTGCTGCTGCCACAAATCCATTACAGTCAGCAGTTTCAGTATCAGGGCTGGAGCTTTTAAAGGAAATAAAGTTACTTATATCATATTTTTCAATTTTTATTTTAGTATTTTATGGAATTGAGTGTTTGCCTACAAGTTTGTCTGTGCACTACCTGTGTGCCTGCTGACCACAAATGCCAGAAGAGGGTGTTGGATCCTCTAGAACTAAAGTTGCAAATGCCTGTGAGTCACCAAGATGCTAGGAATTGAACTAGGTCCTCTGGAAGAACAGCCAGTACTCTTAACTGCTGGACCTTATCTCTAGCCCCATAATCCAGATTTTAAAAGCAATTCTCTATGTGGCCAGGTCACACAGAGCCTACTATTTTCTTTTAAAGTGGCCATTATTACAAAAATGGGCTTTACTCGGATGTTTACAAAGGACTTATATCTAGTGACTGTTGGCTTAGAACTCATTTTGTAGCCCAGACAGATCTTGAACTCATTTAATCATTCTGCCACAGGCTTCCAAGTTTTCTGATTAAGGCATGAAATACCATACCTGGTACAACTGTTAAATTTTAAGAATAGGTATAAATGGATAGGCATTGTGGCATCCACCTGCAGTCTCAGCCCTGGGGGACAAGGCAGCAGAATCACAAGCTCAAGATACAACAATGCTACACAGGGAAAAATAAAAATGAGCATGTGTGAGACTGTCAATTTGGGAAATATATATACATATACATATTTATACACACACACACACACTCAAAAAAAAACATGGTATATATTTCATGTCTCATTCTCTGTCTCTCTTGTGTGTCTGGCTGGCTGGCTGGCTGGCTGAGTTCCTAGCACTCACAATAGCCTGTGACCCAGTTCCAAGGTATATAACACTATTTACTGCCCTCCAAGGTCACTGAATGCACATGGTACACAGACAGACATGTAAGCAAAACACTAATAAAAATCTTAAAAAATAAACTATATATTAAGGTGTGCTGGCTAGTTTGATGTCAACTTGCCAAAAACTCTAGTCACTGGAGAGAAGAGAGCCTCAGTTGAGAAAAATGTCTCCCTAAGATACAACTGTAAGACATTTTCTTATTAGTGATTGATGAGGGGCTGTCCCTGGGCTGATGGTCCTGATTTCTGTTAGAAAGCAGGCTGAGCAAGCCATGTGGAGTAAGGCAGTAAGCAGCAGCCTTCCAGGGCTTCTACCATCTGATCCTGCCTTCAGGTTCCTGCCTTATTTGAGTTCCTATCCTGACTTCCATTTAAGGGTGAACAACAGTAATACAGAAATGCAAACCACATAAATCCTCTCCTCAAGCTGCTTTTGGTCATGGTGTTCATAGCAATAAAAACTAACTAGGCATAAGGTCTTTCTTTAGCATAAGAGATTTATACAACAGAAGTCTCATCACTGGCACTTACTATGCTTTTCCAGGAGTCTTTGCTTCATTGGCGCTGATGATGAATAAAGGAAACAGGATAGAGAAGAGGCAGCCACTATTAAAAACAAAAAGGTCAACTTCACAAGACTTGATTTTAGAAAAGGTACTGGAAGCCTCATTTCTCCTTTCCAGCTTTGCAAACAGCATAATGTGATGAAATGTTAATATAGCATATAAACACAGCTTCGGAAATGAACAGAAGAGTTTCTGAATTTCTAAGTATCTGCCTCCAGGAGACAGCATAGAATAAGATAGACTACATTTTAATGCTGATAAATGTCAATTACTATTATCAACAACAGAAAAAAAAAAAAAAAACAACCCTCTTCCTGATGGTCAAATGATGTAAAATGCTAGGTCAGAAGCAAAGCAATAAAAGATGCTTGTTAAGACATACTTACTACCCAAGTTTTTATTTTTCTGGTCTTTGGAGTTTCTCTAGATGAGTTACCTGATAATATAGGAGGACTGCATTGCCGTGAGGAAAGCCAAAGGCAAGCCAAATCCAAAGTAGTAAGGCCAGTTCCTTTCTATGTTTGACAATCGCTGGTGCATTTCAATTCCTAAAACAAGGAAGTCAGTACACCTAAGACTCATATCTTATTTAAATGACTAACTGGCAAACACAATTATTTGAGGCTTAGGTTTTAGGCACAAAGCTACCATTTGAAACACAGATACAGCATATAAACCATATAAATCTACCAGGTTCATGATGGTACAAACCTTTGGTCACAGGACTTTGGAAAGCAGAGGCAATTTGGTCTACATAGGGAGTTACTGATCAGCCAGGACTAGATAGTAAGACCCTGTTTCAAAGAATTGTACAGATCTGACATAAAGCTTCAATGCAAAGATTTTACAGTAATCATAATTTCAAAGTAACAATTTTAGCACCAGCACTGTTTTTCAGGACAGTCTGGAACAAAGCAAAATATCAAAAAAGGATGGCATGGGGGAGGAGGGTCAGCCTGATCTCTGAGTTGGAGGCCATCCTGGTCTACACAGAGCAAGCTCCAGGACAGCCAGGGGAACCCTGGGGGGTGGCGGGATAGCTCTACTGAAATTTATTCACCAAGATGAATATACAAACGGTTTTGTTTGTTTGGGTGTGCATGTTTTGATATAGGATTTTATATATGGTCCAAGCTAGTTTCAAACTCAAAGCCCTTCTTTCTCTACCTCAAAGTGCAAGGATTACAAGTTCTGGACCCCTTTATAAAGCATCAAAGTCTTTTTACATGATCTCCAGCTGGGTATGGTGGAACATACCTGTAATCCCAACATTTAAGATGCTAAAACAAGAGGACTAGAATTAGAAACTAGCCTGAACCATAAAAAATAGCAGGCCAGCAAGGCTACACACAGCAAGACCCAACTCAAAAAAATAAAAAAAATGCTAGATGTGATGGTGCACACCTATAATCCCAGCGCTCTGGAAATAGAAGACACATCTTCAGCTCCACAGCAAGTTCAATGCTAGCATGAGCTACATGAGACCTTGACTTAAAAAATAAGAGTAATTTAAAAAGAAAACAACTAAAAAGAATGATAATAATCAAGTGAGCTTGACTTGATAGTATATGTACGAATTCCCAGTACTTGGGAGGTAGAAGCAGGAAGCTGGAAAGTTGAAAGGCCAGCCTGAACTAAGAGTGAGCGCTCAAGGTCAGCCTGGGTTACATAGCAAGACCATGTCTTAAAATAAATTTTAAAAAATGTAATTCTAAATGCACTAGCATCTATTTAACTTCTCTGAAACAATTTGTGTTCTTTTCTATCAACTTCTGGCCTAGACAGAGCTACACCACATTAAGTACTAAAATGGTAATTAATTCTACAATGCCATTTTCCTTGGCCTCAAAGGTTAATAAACCCACTAAGCCAAATGTAACCTCCCTCTTGCCAATGAGCCACGTCTTGTCAGAAATCTGCAAAGAGCTTGAGTATTGAACAGCGTAGTGTGTGCAGCACCAGCATTTCTGAACAAGGCGTCTATATCCCAGGTTTCTTTTTATGGACTTACCTTTATTGAACCAACGGTACTCAAAGCAGTACAGTGAGTAGAGAAGAGACATATGCAGCAGACTAACCAGCTGACCCACAAGATGGATGGGGAAGAGACTCACAAACATCCCCTGAGGAACAAATGCAACAAATCTTAATTCCAGAATGTCAGACATTTCTCGATCACTGCTCCAATCAGAGATGGCCTCTCAGCTGCCTTGGTTGTTCAATGGTAGGAACAGAATCTCCAAGAGAAGAGGCAAACCCATTTCTTTCTTTCTTTTTTCTTTTTTTGGTTTTTCAAGACAGGGTTTCTCTGTGTAGCTTTGGAGCCTGTCCTGGAACTTGCTCTGGAGACCAGGCTGGTCTCGAACTCACAGAGATCCACCTGCCTCTGCCTCCCGAGTGCTGGGATTAAAAGCATGTGCCACCAACACCGGGCCCATTTCTTATAATTTTATATTTAAACTCTCTAGCTGCTTTTAAAGTCTCTCTCCTTTCTTTCCTCCCCTTCCCCAATATCTATTCCTTGGGTAGGCACTATTGTTCTTTCCTTTTTCATTTTTTTTATTTTTTTAGATATTTAAATTTCACATGTCTGAGTATTCTGCCTACATGTATGGATATGTATCACATGTGTGCCTGGTGCCCTCAGTAGTTATAAGAGAATGTTGCACCAACTGTAACTGGCGTTATGAATGGCTGTGAGTCACTATGTGGGTACTAGAAAACAGCCACTGAGTCATTTCTTCAGCTTCCATTTTCCTTTTTTAAAATAAGAGAGAGTGTGTGTGTGTGTGTGTGTGTGTGCGTACGTGCATGTGTGCACACACAGCCATGCATGCTGTTATATCTCAGTTGTGTACCAATTCTTATTTCTAATTAATAAATTTCAATTTAACTTCTTAGAAAAATGTTCATTGGGTAAAAATGCTATTGTGAAAGCAAGAGGACTAAGTTCAAATCCTCAGAACTCCCATAAACACCAGGCATGGATGTATATGCCAGTAACCCCAACACTTGAGAGGAGGCAGAGACAGACAAATTCTAGGAGGTTGCTGGTCAGCCAGGCACCCTAGCCAAAAATAGTGACCTTCAGGTTCAGTGAGAGATCTCCTCTCAAAAAATAAGGTGAAGAGTGTACACACACACAAATAGTGCTTTAAAAATCATTACTTCCCATGAGGCATATATGCATGCTCCAGTATAAATGCAAAACTCATCTTTCTGAAGTCCCTTTCCCTAAACTTTTTTCTTTTCTTTTTAAAAATGTTTCCATGTGTCTCTCACCTGAATAAGGAAAAGTGCCTGTAGCAAAAGGTTGAAGAGCATGTCAGCAATTATCTTGCTGACACTGGGAAATGGATGAGGTTTCCTCCCTGATACTTCAAATGCCAGGTCAGCTATATCCTGAAACAGAGAACAGTAGTACAACAAAACATGAATTAATGGTCCCATGTCCATCCCCAGAGCTAATGCCACTGTTCGGCTACCAGAGCAGCCAGGTGAAAAAAGTCTGCCTTAGTAACCTGAGACAGTCATTTCATTTTACAAAACCACAAAGATTACCAAACTTGCTGCTTAGCTTAAAAAATGTTAAGACTTGAAAATTGTTTTCTCTATAGCTAAAAAGAGTATAATCTAGGGAACCCACATAGAATCCAGACTCCATTCTGCCCTGGACCTACTTGGAACCAAATGGCATTCACAACTTTGCTAAGCACAAACAGGGGGAGCACCCAAAGAGCACTGAAAATTGATGTGAGGAAGAATTCCAGCCATGACCAAACATCTCCATGCAGTGACGGATCACCTAAAAAACAAAAAAAAACAAAAAAACAAAACAAGAATTATTAGTTTAGCTAGATAAATGGAATGCCAGAAGACCAAAAATGGAACTATTTTGTGACTATTCCTCTGCCTCACATTCTGGCCACAGCTCTTATTCATAGTAATCACAGTGTTGTTCTGCTTATCTTAAAACAAACCTGTTTACAGGGGGACTACTGAGATGTCACAGTGACTAACCACAGAACTATCAGGAAACCAACTGAATTTAAATCTCAGTTCTGTTACTTACGTATGGCTTAACTAACTTCTATTTACTTATCCATAAAATAGCCCAACAATGCCTGTATCAAAAAGCCATTGAGAAGTCTAAATTAAAAACATCGGCTGGAGGGGGCCGGCATGCCTTTAATCCCAGCACAAGGGAGACAGAGGCAGAGGCAGAGGCAGAGGCAGGTCAATCTCAGTGAGTTTGAGGCCAGCCTGGTCTACAAAACTGGAGGCAGAGGCAGCTGGATCTCTGAGTTAAGAATCCAGCCTTGTCTACAGAGTGAGTTCCAGGACAGCCAGAACTAAACCCTGTCTCAAAAAAAGAAAAAAAAAAAACTAAAAACATCAAATTGCTAGTGCGTATGAAACTGAGGAAGACAAGTATCTCAAAGCTCTACCTATCCCCAACAGGAGCAAGATACATACATACTCACCAATAATCCGGGCTGTTACTGATTGAAGCACAGGAATAAACACTCGATAAAACAAGAGGAGACTGAACTGAAGGAAAGAGACAATAATCAAAAACCCTTCTTTAAATTAAAACAAGGCATCAGGCGATGGTGGCAGATGATTTTAATCACAGCACAAAAGAGGCAGAGGCAGGTGGATCAAAGCCAGCCTGGTCTATAGAGTGAGTTGTCAGTTTCAGGACAGCCAGGACTACACAGAGAAACCACCTCAAAAAAAAAATAGTAGTAGTAATAATAATAATAATAACAATAGCAGTATATTAAAACAAGTCACTATAATAACTTTCCAGTCAAGACTGCTAGTTTATAAATCAGGAGACCAGAAGAAGCACCTTTCCTAGTTGCCAAAACTCAAAGACAGTGCAGCAAACTGATACTATTTATCAGTGAGACTTCTGAGACAGAGAAAACATTTTAACTAACATTCAGGCAAACATACAAAGATATATACTAAGCATCTAAGATGTTTATTAATTAAATCTAAAGCTACCATCTGAAAACATTAGTGAAATGTTTATATTAAGAGAAACTGAATTACACTAAATACCAAGTCAAGAACAGTATTTAGATTTCACTAAAGACTATGATAGTTCTCAATTATAGGTAACTTTTTTGATCTGAGTCTCAATAATAATTGATTGCTACAACCAGAAACATCTATCTTTTTCTGATCCCACAGATAACCAAAAATGTCTAAACAAACAGTGTTAATACAAGTTATTTAAAACAATACTAAAACCTGTCAATGGATCATATAAATAAACAAACATAATGCAGGGCTCTCCCAGATATCTCTTTATGTATAAGTATTATTTGTGAATAGGAATAAAATTCACTAAAGATGCACAAAATCCAAATTCATGTTTGTTGTTTAGGGTTTTCCGTATGTTTTTCTAGATAGGGTTTCTCTGTGTAGCCCTGGATGTCCTGGAACTTGCTCTACAGATCAGGCTGAACTCTAACTCAGAGATCCACCTGCCTATGCTTCCTAAGTACTGGGATTAAAGGTCTGTGCAACTATGCCTGATTCATATTTATTTGGTTTTTTTTTTCTTCAAATTTACTTGGTTTTTTTTTTTTTTTTTTTTTTTTTTTTTTTTTTTTTTTT